TTCTACTTCCAAACGGCTGACTTTTTTTTTTTTTTTAATCTGTAAACTAAAGGGCTGGCATATATTCTTCAACTCTTTCCAGCTTTAGAATCCTTGATTCTATAATCCAATGATTATAGAAACAAATACACTCAAACTTCCAAGACAGTAAGGTATTAGAATAATATTCTCTAGTATATTGTTACTAATATGAGTGACTCTATCTTGAGATTTGAAAACAAAAATCGTAATTATCCATCTGGCAACAGTGACATTTCCAAGTAAATGTGTTACCAAGTGGCCCCACATTCCTTGGTATGTATGCCGAGTGTACAGGAATGCGACTAAAAATTGCTTCGAAATATTTAAATGATTCGGTAATTTCGATATTTTATTTCCAACTGTGCCGTGGCGACAAAGTAACGTTTACAAAATAATACACGGCATCCTCTGTGGACTTTCAAATCTCCGCTAGCATTTAAAGAGCATTAATCGGCAGGAGCTGCTTTGGTGCAGGCCACCGGGGCGGCGGGGAGCAGAGGACGGATGTGGAGGCGCTCAGGGCGGCGCCGCGGGGGCCGCCGGGGCCGGAGAGGGGAGGGCGGCCGGAGGACGGTCGGCGGGCGGCCGGAGGGCAGAGGCGCGGGCGCGCCGCCCGGACCGCCAACCCCCGCCTCCGGGCCGGGCTGGGCGGGCGCTCGCGTCAGCTCCGGCCGAGCGGCCGGGCGGGCTCCCAGCGCGAGTCCGCCCCGTCCCGCCCCTTCCCCTTACCACGTAGCCGCCCCACACGTAGAGGGAGTCTCCGTCCACCACCGCGCAGTGGCCGCTGCGCTCCTCCGCCACGCAGAACAGCTGCGAGTCCTCCATCCGCCCGTCGCTGGGCCCGTCGCCCTTCACGCCGCAGCCCGGCCCGGAGCCGCCTCTCCCCGCGGCTCCGCACGCGCGGACGGAACGCGTCGAGGACCGAGATTGGTGGGAGGCGGAGCTGTGCGACTGCGCGCCCCACAGCCCGGCGGCGCCGCGGCGGCGGGGCCGGGCCGGGCCTGAGCCGAGGGAGCGCCCGCCGCACCGGCTGTTACTGGGGCGGCGCCGCCGGCTCCTATTCGCTGGCTGCCGGCCTTACGGTCTGTGGGGGTTGATGTAGCGGTAACATAAATCAGCATATTAACAAATTAATACTTTGTGTTTTCCTTTTCCACTCAACCTCCAGCGGAGATGGTTATCCACAATAATAAATCGTGTGTGTGTTTGATAGGCTTTTTTGTTTTGTTTTTTTTTTAATTTAGGAATTTTCTAAAACACCAACAAACTAGGCCGGGAGGTCAAGTTCTGTCCACCACAAGCTAAGAACGTTTTACTTTTTTTTGTTGTTGGTTAGCATCTGGATTTTTTTTTCTTTTAATCTTTATTGTTGAAAGCATTACATATGTCCTCACATTTTACGTTTTTAAAGGATTGGGGAGGGGGGAATCAAAAGAGTGATAATTTATAAGACATGAAAATGAAGTGAATTGAAATTTCAGTATTTGTACATAAAGTTCTATTGTCACACAGCCACCCTAATTCACTTAAATATTGTCCATAAAATATAATAGTTACTCTCTGGCCCCCTACCGAAAAAGTTGGCTAGCCCTTGTTATACAATGTTACTGAAGTAAAACTAAGACCAGGAGTGAAGATAACAATTCTACTAGTGTCTGTAAATGCATTTGTCCAAAGCCACTTTTCAAAGAGATTGTGGCTGCCCACCACTCAGAACAAGTTGAATTCATTCATTTATTCAATATGAACATATTAAGTGCCTGCTTGCTATAGAAAGTTGGTGCGGAGGCTTTATTATACTGGAATATTTGTTGACTAAATGAATGAAAAACAAAGATAATGTTTTTCAACATACAAAATAAATCTATTACCAGATTGTAGATACAAACTAATTAGCCATTTACATGCAACAAACTAATATTTCAAGAAAAATTTTTAAAATGTAATATTACATGGAATAAACAATATTTCAAGAGAAAGATTTTATATATAATATTTTTTTATTACTGCTCCTATTTCATCAGTTGTTATTGGACTATTCAGATTTTCTGATTCCTCCAAATTCAGTGTGGGAGATTAGATTTTTCTAGGAAATTGTCTATTTTATCCACATTGTCCAGCTTGTTGGCATATACCATGTTTCCCCAAAAATAAGACATCCTCTGAAAATAAGACCTACTTACAGGTTTCCTTCTAAGTGAAATATAAGGCATCCCCCGAAAATAAGGCCCCCCCCCCCTAGGCTAAACATGAGAGATTTGGTCCACTGATTCTGAAAGAAATGGAGTCACAAGAAATTCACCAGGAAATTCAGGAATTGGATGGTTATAATGATGTTCCAGAAGATGATGACATGATTGTCATTGAATAAATGAGTAAATTCTTGATACTGTAGGATTCACAGTTTGTCTAGTTTGTGTTGACAACTACCATACTACCGTACCGTATACAGGTAATAAATTTCCTTTATTTTCATTTAACAATAAATGTGTACCGTATTCTTCTTCATGGAAAAATAATACATCCCCTGAAAATAAGACCTAGCGCATCTTTGGGAGCAAAAATTAATATAAGACACTGTCTTATTTTCGGGGAAACAGCTAGTTGTTCATTCTTACAATCCATTTAATTTCTGTGATGTCTGTGGTTACTTCTCCACTTTAGTTTCTGATTTTATTTGGATCCTTTCTCTTGTTTCTTAATGAGTCTGGCTAACGGTTTATCAATTTTGTTTATCTTTCAACCAGTTCTTCATTGATTTTGTGTGTGTGTTTTGTTTTTAGTCTCTATGTTATTTATTTCTGCTCTAATCTTTATTATTTCCTTCCTTCTTCTTACTTTGGGCTTTCCTTGTTGTTCTCTTTCTAGTTCTTTAAGATGTAGGGTTAAATAGTTTATTGCTGATTTTCCTTGTTTTTTGAGGTATGCCTATCATACTATGAACTTCCCTCTAAGGACTGCTTTTGCTGTGTCCCAGAGATTTTGGGATTTTGTGTGTTTATTTTCATTCCTAGGAACTTTTTTATTTCTTTCTTGTTTCCTATGGTTATATCCTCTTCTTGGATCAATCCCTTTAGTATTATGTAGTGACCTTTGTTGTCTCTTGTGATGGCCTTCATTTTAAAATCCATTTTGTCAGATAGGAGTATTGCTACTCCAGCTTTTTTCTTCTCCATTTGCATTAAAAAAAAATTTTCCATCCCTTCACTTTCATCCTGTGTGTGTCTTTTGTTTTGAGGTAAGTCTCTTGTAGACAGCATAGAGGTAGGTCATGTTTTTTTAATCTATTCAGCTATTCTCTGTCTTTTGATGGGAGCATGTAATCTATTTACATTTAAGGTTATTATTGCTAAGTACTTATTTATTGCCATTATATTTCTGCATGGCTAGGTTTCTCTCTTTGTTTCTTATTATTATAGCAATCCTTTTAGCATTTCTTGTAATGCTGGCTTGGTGGTGATGAACTCCTTTAGCTTTTTTTTTTTTTTTTTTTTGTCTGGGAAGCTCTTTATTTGACTGTCTATTTTGAATGATAGCCTTGCTGGATATAGTAATTTTGGTCTCAGATCCTTGCTTTCCATTACCTTGAGTACTTCATGCCATTCTCTCTGGCCTGTAGAGTTTCTGATGAGAAATCAGATGTCAGCCTTATGGGAGCTCCTTTGTAGATAAGAGTTTTCTTTTTTCTTGCTGCCTTTAAGATTCTCTCTTTGTCTTTAATTATAATGTGTCTGAGTGTGGGCCTGTTTGGGTTCTTCTTGCTTGAGGTTCTCTATGCCTCCTGAACTTGTGTGACTTTTTCCTTTACCAGGTTAGGAAAGTTTTCTGCCATTATTTCTTCAAACACATTCTCTATGCCTTTCTCCCTTTCTGCCTCTTCTGGGACATATGCTATGCTAATATTATTGCATGTCACATTGTCCCACAGATCCCTTAAGTCACATGTGTCAAACACAAGGCCCTCGGGCCAAATCCGTCCCGCCAGGCCTTGCAATGTGGCCCGCACCGCGCTGTCATCACTGCACTCCGCTGCGTTTCCATCACAATGACAGTTTATGACTGTTCAGTAAACCATTCGGCCCGCGATTTAGGCTGGATTTTAGATTTTGGCCCCTTCTCTGATTGAGTTCGACACCCCTACCTTAAGTTGTCCTCCTGTGTGTTTGTTTTTTATTGTTTTTTTTTTTTTTCTTTTTTGGTTCTCTAATTGAATTCTCTAGTCTTTCATTTGAGGCTGTTTCCTTGTTTCCTCATTTTGTTTGACTATTTGGGTTTGTGACTATGTTTTAAGTTAGCGGTCGGCAAACTCATTAGTCAACAGAACCAAATATCAACAGCACAACGATTGAAATTTCTTTTGAGAGCCAAATTTTTTTAACTTAAACTTAAACTTCTTCTAACGCCACTTCTTCAAAATAGACTCACCCATGGTATTTTGTGGAAGAACCACACTCCAGGAGCCAAAGAATCGTATGTGGCTTACTAGCCACAGTTTGCCCACCACAGGGCTATGCTTTCAATGTTGTTTACTTTTTTTTCTTTTACATTTTTTGAATATGTAAAACATCATGATTGATAGTTAAAACTCTCACTACAAAGAAAGTTCTCACTGTGATATTTATCTCTTTTTGCCCTTTATGTTTAATCATATTTTTTAGGGTCTAGTTTTAATGCCAGAGGTTTTTAAAATTCAAAAACAAGTAATGTGTACACACGCACACACATTTCCCTTCCTTTATCATACTTTGCATGGGACAAAAAAGGAGTTCAAGTCCTCTCCTCCCTCAGCCTACATCGTTTGGGACTGCAGAGCCTAGCAGGAGGCATCGCAGTGCTCTGCGCCTGGCAACCAGGGTGCAGGGAGTCCCCAGGTCTCCGGCCAGCTGCAGAGGCGGAGCACACCGGGGCGGGGCGGGGCCGGGCCGGGGCGGAACCTGAGCGGGGCGGGGCCTAAGCGGGGCGGGGCCTGAGCGGGGCGGGGCCGGGGCCGTGGCGCCAAAACGCGAACATGGCGCCGGAGCGGTTGCGGAGCCGGGCCCTCTCTGCCTTCAAGCTGCGCGGCTTGCTACTCAGAGGGTGAGTGGGCCGCGGTGTGGCAGGCCGGGAGGGGAGAGCCAGAGCCAAACAGCGGCGCGGGGCCTCGAGACTCCCCGGGCAGCGGGAGGGGGTTTCACCTTAAATGACAGACACCTTACAAAGTTCTAAGAAGCGGCCCTCGCCACCCCCGGGAAGGTAGCAGCGATGGCCCTTTCCCGGGCTAATTCCGGTCTCTGGCGCCCACCGCGGTGGCAGGCTCCACCCCTGGTTGGTCGGGGGCGTGGGGGACGCAGCCAGTCGATGTGTCTCTCTCACTTGATTTACAGCTCTCTAGCTCTCTTCCATCCCCCTCCCTCCACCCTCAATGAAAACCAATGGAAACCCATATCCCTGGGCGAGGATTAACAAAAAGTCCTAAGAAACAAAGTGCTTTTGGCACGATGGTCATGTTGCGATACTTCCTAGGTCTCTCTGGGGTTGGCACAGAGTCGGAGCGGGGGTTCGAGGGTCCCCTCCTGCCGGTGCCGGAGGAGGAACGGCTTATTAGCTCTGTGACTTTGCCTCTTTTTATTTATTTATTTATTTGTTTGTTTGTTTTAAATATATTCTATTGATTTTTTACAGAGAGGAAGAGAGAGGGATAGAGAGTTAGAAACCCGGATGACAGAATCATCGGATCAGCTGCCTCTTGCACACCCCCTACTCGGGATGTGCCCGCACCCAAGGTTCATGCCTTTGTCCGGAATCAAACCCCGGACCTTTCAGTCTGTAGACCGACGCTTTATCGTCTATCCACTGAGCCAAACCGGTTTTGGCTCAACCTTTTAACCCGGGAGTTCCCTTTTTAATTATACAACGTACAGAGAACGCATACTCTTTCACTAGGACGTGTCAGTACGTCACGCCCAGTGGACGTAATTTTATATTATTTTTTTTATTTAGACTTAATTAAAATAAATGAAATATATATTTTTCGTTTATTTATATATAAAGCACAAAGGAAAATACAAAATTACAAACAAATAGAAAAGAATACCAACAAAAAAATGGAAACATCGAATTAAAAAATTATAAATTTTACAATTATAAAGATTACAAAAAATATATATAGTTTTTATTTCTATATACAATAAAAAATATTAAAAAGTTAACAATTACAGAACAATAAACAAAAGCACACAAATGAAATAGAAATATTGAGTTTAAAAAATTGAAATAGAGATGTAAAAATTCAAAACTCAACTTCCATGTGATATATTTTAAAACAATTGTTGATACATAGTGCTACCTTACAATCCGGACACCGGTATGTAGATTCTTTCCTAACACCTTTTTTGTAGCAAATATCGCTTTTCATTTGTTCTGGAAAATGCCTGTCAACTAAGCTTGATGGTTTTAGATGAAGAGCTGCTTGTTGATGTCTTTGGGTGGGTTTTCACTATGTTGTTATCTACCAATTTCTCTACACTATCAAAAAGTGTAATCGATCCAAATGACCTTTATCTTTTTTGTATATAATATATGCATTGAAGCAGCACATATCAATTAATCGTAGAAAAAATTTTTTATAAAATTGTTTTACCCTATTACGGGCAGCTGTGTGGGCCACCATAACTCCATTTCCCAGATCTACGCCGCTCATATTCTTGTTATAATCCAGGACAACATTCGGTTTTTCTTGCCTTCTTCCTCTCTTTTCAATCATTGTCTTTTCATCATTATGAATAGAACTGGGCATCAATATGTCTTTTTTATCCTTCCATTTTAAAACCATAAGTTTGTCTGATTCTTACATATGTTCATTTTTCTGTAATTTTTTTGTTTTTATTTCACTGGGTATTCCGACTCTGTTTATCCTCATGGTTCCAACAATGTCTGTATTGTTTTGACACAAGAGTTTAGCCAAATGAATTGACCTATAGAAATTACCTAAGTAAATCCTATACCCTTTATTCAGTAAGTCATGTGTTAACTCCAAAACAATTCTTGTTGATTGTTTTCCTTGTGGGTAGTTCGGACCATAATTTGTGTCCTTGCCTGTGTATAAAATTATATTTTGTACATATCCAGATTGGCTTTCACTCAAAATAAACAACTTCATTCCAAATCTAGCTCTTTTTGTAGATATATATTGATTCCAAGATAATTTCCCTTTCCATAATAAAAGAGATTTATCTACGCATATTTCTCGTTCACATACATAAAAACTTTTAAACTTTTCTGAAAAATTATTGATGATTGGATCAATTTTATATGTTTTTTTATTATATAAAGGTTGGAGATATAAAAAATATAAGTAAATAATATATAATACGAAAACAGGTGGGTAAGTGTAAGTACGTACCCATCACTGCTCACCCAGAACACGTCCACCACTCTCAATGGCGAAATTATACTGATTCCCTCCATGTCTTAAATTCATCTCAAGACATGTGTGGATGACTTTGTTGTTTGGAAATATACGTCCCGCCCGTTTCAGGGCGCAACGTATATTTCAAGGATGTATTCATACCCGATATTGTTTCCGTTTGACGTATTTATACGTCCCGCTCTGTTAACAGGTTTATGTGTTTTTGGTTTTTTTTTAATTGATTTTTAGAGACAGAGGAAGGGAGGAGGGTAGAGCAATACAAACATCAATGAGAGAGGAACATCATCAATTGGAGAGAGAAATAGAAACATCAGTGATGAGAGAATCATTGATCATTTGCCTCCTGCACACCCCATACTGGGGATCAAGCCTGCAATGCTCTGACCAGGAATTGAATCAGCAACCTCTTGGTTCCTGGGTCAATGCTTAACTGCTGAGGAACACTGGCTGGGCTAGGAAGGGTTCTTTAAAAAAAAAAATAAATAAATAAATAAATAAATAAATAAATAAATAAATAAAAAAAAATATATATATATATATATATATATACATATACACACACACACACACACACACACACACACACACACTAGAGGCCCGGTGCACAAAATTTGTGCACTTGGCAGGGGGTGGGGGTGAGGGAGTCCCCCAGCCTGACCTGTGCCCTCTCACAGTGCAGGAGCCCCGCAATCAGTCGCCCCAAAGAGGTAGAGCACACCCACCCATATGGGTCTCCTAGATGGATTGTCCCAAAGAGGTAGGCCAGAGCCAGGGGTCCTGTCTCCGTGCAGACTGGCCGCTGGGCCCCACCTCCATGCCGCTCACGCAGTGTCAAATTCCTGCCCACCCGTGTGCGCCCACTGTGCATGCAACCTCCTGGTGATGGATTGTGACGGCATGAGGTCATCGCGGCACGAGGGCGTGACGACCACCTAGGCTATTAGTATATTTAATGATATTTTACATAGAGGAAGGGAAAGGCATAGAGTTAGAAACATCAATGACAGAGAAACCTCAATTAGCTGCCTCTTGCACACTCCCTACTGGGTATGTGCCCGCAACCAAGGTACATGCCCTTTGACTGGAATCAAACCTGGGACCCTTGAGTCTGCAGGCCAGTCCTCTATCCACTGAGCCAAACCAGTTAGGGCTAAGAAGACTTCTTAAAAGATGGATGTGATTTGGGACTTTAAGAATGGTTATGTTGGGACTCTTTTCCCTTCCCCACATGGGAGTCTGTACTTGTTCTTCAATACATTTCTATCTTTGCTATATTAAAAAGAAAAAAAAATGGTTATGTTGACAGGGAACAGAAGGAATAATTTGTTTGGAAAGTGCAAGAAAGGTGGGCATTAAATTTCAATGCCATGTTCCAGGTTGCAGAGAAAAAAGAACCCTCGTGCACTGCTGGTGGGAATGTAGACTGGTGCAACCACTGTGGTGAACAGTATGGAGTTTCCTCAAAAAACTGAAAATGGAACTCCCATTTGACCGAGTAATCCCACTCCTAGGAATATATCCCAAGAAACTAGAAACACCAATCAGAAAGGATATATGCACCCCTATGTTCATAGCAGCACAATCTACAATAGCCAGAATTTGGAAACAGCCTAGGTGCCCGTCAGCAGATGATTGGATCCAAAAACTATGGTACATCTACACAATGGAATACTATGCTGCCATAAAAAAGAAGGAATTCTCATCATTTGCAGCAACCAGGATGGAATTGGAGAACATCATGCTGAGTGAAATAAGCCAATCAATGAAAGAGAAACACCACATGACCTCACTCATTTATGGATAATAAAGAACATTATAAACTGATGAACCAAAAGATAGATATAGAGACAGTAAAGCAACAGCAGACTGTCAAATTACAGTGGGGAGGGGAGGGAGATCTGGGGGAGATAATAGGTCAACCGAAGGACTTGTATTATGCATATAAGTACAACCAATGGACATAAAACTCTGGGGAGGGAGAGTATGTATGGGAGGGAGAGAGGGGGGCAAAAAAAAATCAATAAAATATATTTTTAAAAAATAAATAAAAAAATAAAAAGTAAATTTCAATGCCATGTTGATGAGTCTTTGCCATTTTGTCATAAAACTTTTAGCCTTAATTACCAATGACTTGCCTCACCTTTTCTTTCCCTCTTATCAGTGAAGCTATTAAGTACCTCACAGAAGCTCTTCAGTCTGTCAGTGAAGTAGAGCTTGAAGATGCACTGGAAAAGATCATTGATGCAGTTGAAAAGCAGCCCTGTAAGTAAAATTCTGATAGCTCTTAAGTTGTTAATATACTTCCACATTGTTTGCAGACTTAGAGATTTGAGTAGAAGTTGAGGATTCAGTATGACAATGTCCCAGCCTATGGGGACATACCCCTGATAGCACTTCTTCCCAAGGGTAGCTTCTAGTTCCTTTGGAACCTCAGTGCATTCCCCAGAGACCCTTTTACAGTTCTTCTCCCTCGTAGAGCTGTCACCTCAATATTTCTCCATTTAACTTCTGATTTTGATCTGATCTTTTAGGGTCACTTTGTCTCTCTGCTTGCCTATAATTTTGTCTTAAGTATCCCTAAATGTTTGGGGTTGGAGGAAAAAGTGAGCCAGGCTAACTCCCTTCTTGCTTCTGCCTTTCTTCAGGGATCTTTTTTTAAGTCACATGTGTCAAACACAAGGCCCTCGGGCCAAATCCGTCCCGCCAGGCCTTGCAATGTGGCCCGCACCGCGCTGTCATCACTGCACTCCGCTGCGTTTCCATCGCAATGACAGTTTATGACTGTTCAGTAAACCATTCGGCCCGCGATTTAGGCTGGATTTTAGATTTTGGCCCCTTCTCTGATTGAGTTCGACACCCCTATGTTAAGTACTTAACTTTTTGCCACAAGTATAGGCCTACAAAGGAGAAATGCTCTTCTAAAAAAAAAAAAAGTTCACTTTATAGCACTGAAGGAGAAAAGTGGATGCAACTTGCTCTCATATGGTGGCTAGATGTTAATTTCTTAATTAAAAAGGAAAAAACATGTTCAATGTATAGAAAAAATTTTCACTTCTAAAAGTAGGTTTTTTAAAAATCTTATTTTATTTTTTCCATCCCCTCTATGACCTTTTCAATCCTCTCTCCTCTTTCCCTCCACCACTGTCACTACACTGTTGTCCATGTCCATAAGTTCTCCCTTTTTTTTTCCTTTTTGCTTAATCCCTCCAACCCCACAGCACCTGACCACTACCAGCCCTTGCTCTCTCTTTTTATAAGCCAATCTCTATTTTGCTTGGTAGTTCACTTTGTTCATTAAATTCCACTTAAGAGTGAAATCATGGTACTTGTCTCTCTCTGACTGGTGTATTTCACTTAGCATAATGTTCTCCAGGTCCATCCATGCTAATGCAAAGGGTAACTTTGTTTCCTTTTTACAGCAGAGTAGTATTCCCTTGTGTCCTTGTGTAAGTGTACCAGAGCTTTTTTAGCCACTCATCTACTTATGGACACTTGGGCTGCTTCTAAATCTTGGCTATTGTAAATAACACTGTAATTCCCAGAAGTAGGATCACTAGGTTATAAGAACAGTCTTTTTTTTTTTTCCTTCAGGTAACTCCATACTGCTTTCCACAGTGCCTGTACCAATCTATATTCCCACCAACAGTGCACAAAGGTTCACTTTTCTCCACACCCTTGCCAACACTTGTTGTTTGTTGATTTATTGATGACTAGAGGCCCAATGCACGAAATTCATGCAAGAGTAGGCCTTCCTTCCCCTGGCTGCCAGCACCTGCTTCCCTATAGCCCCGGCTTCGTCCAGAAGGATGTTCAGAAGGCCGTCTGGTTTAATTAGCATATTAAACTTTTATTATTATAGAAAGAATTTCTGACAGTTGTGAGGTGATATTTCATTGTGGTTTTAATTTGCATTTTTCTGATGATTAGTGACTGAGCATTTGTATGTCCTCTTTTGAGAATATGTTCTCCCATTCAGTGGGCTGTCTTTTCATTTTATTGATTGTTTCCTTTGCTGTGCAAAAACTCTTTAGTTTGATGTAGTCCCATTTGTTTATTTTTTCTTTTGTTTCCACTGCCCAAGAAGATATTTCAGAAAAAATATTACTATGAGAAATGTTTGAGATTTTATTATAAAGGCAGAATGTCAAGTATAACGTTGCTTTCAAAAATTATTTACAATTTGAAAATTCAGAAAATGGTTATATTTTAAAAATTGGTATTTGTAAAATTAAGATGGTAACATGGTATTTTGCCTGAGAACATACCAAAGTGGTTAAGGACACACAGTGTGGAATCAGGGTTCGGTTTGTGTTGCTCTTCTAGCTATGTTGTTGGGCAGGTTGTTCAACCTCTCAAAGTTGCACTTTCCTTATCTATAAGATATGGGTATAAGGACATTAATCTCATAGAATATCTCTGTAATGGAGAATGCTTGTAAAGCACTGAGCATAGTGCCAAACACACATTTACTAAGGGCTTAATAAGTGGTAGCTATTATTGTTATTTCTAAAGACCCGGTGCATGAAAATTAATGTACTGGAGGGGGAATCCCTTAGCCTGGCCTTCCCCCTCTCAACAGTCTGGGAGCCCTAAGGGGCAGGAGGCGACCTGGCGATCAGGGGATGGCAACGCCCCATCACACCTCCGCTGCTGCCACTGCCAGCAGCTCAAGCCTTTGCCAGCCCTGGTTACCTGAGCCTCCGGCGGCCCTAGGCTGCTGAGCGGGTAGAGGGGACTGGAGGACTTCGGGGATAGGCGCCCCGGTGGGGCTGAGGGGACTGAGCGCCATCTTGTGGCTGTGGGCTTAAGGGCGTGGCAGTCAGTTAGCATATTCCCTCCTTATTGGCTGTGAACACTACCATCTTTGCAACAGCCTGAGGGTCAATTAGCATACTCCCTCTTTATTAGACAGGATTGTTACTATCATGGCTACTAAAATTTAGCACTTGTGATAAAAAATTATACTAATGTAAGTTTATTAACCTAGGAGCTTACAGTGTTACTAAACAATATTTACAACAGTAAGACACAGGTAAGGTATTTAAGTTATGGCTTTTGTTAATGTTCTGACCTAACATTTTTTTCCTCCTAAAAAATATGTAATGAGAACCTCCACATTAGTGTCTGCAGGTTATTTGTAGGGAAAAAAAGTTATCTGTGGGAAGAACTATTTTTAAGCCTGTTTTTTAAACTTGACTTTGAAATTCTTTTTTCAGTGTCATCCAACATGATTGAACGATCTGTAGTGGAGGCAGCAGTCCAGGAATGCAGTCAGTCGGTAGATGAAACTATGTATGTGGAAAAAATGAACTTTCCCCCTATGTTGGAAGTGTTATTGAATGCTTTTTAAAAATTATTTTCTTGAGGAAATTAATTAGTGGTCAACAATTCTGTAGTGTTTATTTCCTAGTGTTTCCTTTAAAGTGTCAGCCTGCATTAAAACCTCATTGTCAAATAACTCATCTTTCCTATTTTTTTCCTAGGACTTGAGGTAATCATGTTGTTTGTATCATGACTACTTTTACCTCTTATCCAATGTTATATTCCGTAGGTTATGAATGAATTGAATTTAATATTCAAAAGTATAACTGACTTTTGTTCTCAGGTAAGTACTGAACCTAGAGAAGTTCAAAGACTTAACTTGGGTCACATGGTGAATGGCAAATGAGGTAGAACCTCAGTTTTATGACTTTCCCCTTCTTGTACTATTAGAGCTTAGGAATTTACATGGTAGTCATTTTCCTGGGTTTTATTTCCCGGAGTGGCCCTCTTTCTTTCCTCCTTTTGAATGTGATACTTCTTTGCAAATTCACAAGGTTTAACTGAGAGAAAAACAAATGGGTTTTAACCAACAATTTTTTTTATTCGGGGCAATGAAACCACTGAAAGGACTCATTACTCTTATTTTGGTCGGTAGTTTTAGTTTTCTATCAGAACAAAGAGCTGCTAAGACAATAGAGAAATTGTGGAATTTTAGCTTTGTCCTTGGAAATTCATTATTTAAGATACTAGAGTACAGTGACGTGCTCTTAAAGCCATCAATTAAAATTTTGAATGATTATTTAGAAGTGTAAGGATGATAATTGTAAAATAGGCATTAAAATTACCAGTTATTTCTGTCTAGCTGTTTATATGCTCTAGCCAGCCAATGAAAAGGTCCAGTTGGGACTGAATGGTAAATAATCTTTGTAACTTCAATGACCAGAAAGTCATTTTATAGCACGAGAGAGGTTCTCATTTCTCTAGATGAAGAAATGCCATAATGAGTTCAATAGCTTGTCAAGTGCAATCTACTAAAAAATAGTGGAGCTGTGCTTGTATTCTAGGTTTTCCTCAAGTCCAGGATTCTCTACTACTCTATACTTAGTGCTACCACTACACTAGCATGAACATTTTTTTTTTACCATTTTCAATTTTGGAGATAAACATAATTTTAGGGAAGATTTTTATTTATGCAATAGTGCTGTGACTTTTTTTTTTTTAATCAATTTTTATTGTTCATATTATTACAAAGGTTCCTCATTTCTTCCTCCACCAGGTTCCCACCCCACCCTCTTCCCCCTTCCCCTGCCCCATTGTCCTCATCCATAGGTGCACAGTTTATGTTCAGTCTCTTCCTCCCTCCCTTTCCCCGATAGTAAATCTCTTTTCAGACAGTAAATCAGTTACTTAGCATTTTCTCATATCAATAATACCTCCACATGCCCAAAGATACATTTCACACAAAAGACATTTCCAAATAGGTCAACCAACCTCATCCAGGCCCCGCACAAGGCACTCACAGATCAACACCCCAGCACTATACTAACTCAACACATCCAGATCTAAGCCTTCATCACTTGATTCAGCAGACCCTCAAGTTCCCGCAACAGTTTCCAGCCAAGTCTGAGAGGCAGCCTTGGGGCGGGGGCAGGCGAGGAGCGAGCTGTTCTGGGCCTGGCTGCTCCAGGCCTGGCCTCTGTTGCTCTGGTCTGTTCCACAACCAGCTGCTCCGGGTCTGGCCACTGCTGCTCCCAACCTGGCCGCTCCCAGCCTGGCAGCTGCTGCTCCGGGCCTGGCCGATCCCAGCCTAGCAGCTGCTGCTTCAGGCCTGGCCGCACCCGACCCGGCTGCTCTGGGCCTGGATGCTCCGGGCCCGGCTGCTCCAGGCCTGGCCACACCCGACCCGGCTGCTCCAGGCCTGGCCGCTCCCAGCCTGGCAGCTGCTGCTTCGGGCCTGGCCTCTCCCAGCCTGGCAGCCACTGCTCCGGGGCTGGCCGCACCCAACCCAGCTGCTCTGGGCCTGGCTGCTCCGGGCCTGGCCACTCCCAGACTGGCAGCTGCTGCTCCGGGCCTGGCCACACCTGACCCAGCTACTCTGGACCCGGCTGCCCCGGGCCCGGCCGCTCCGAGCCTGGCCATTCCCGGCCTGGATGCTCCGGGCTTGTCTACTGCTGTTCTGGGCCTGACTGCTCCCATCCCGGCTGCTCTGGGCCCGGCTTCTCTGGGCCTGGCCATTCCGGGTCTGGGTGTTCCTGGACTGGCCACCCTGGGTTTGGCCGCCTCCACCTCAGGCCTGGCTGCCACTGCCCCAGGTCTGGCTGCTCCAGGCCTGGCTGTTGGTGCTCTGGTTCTGGCTGTTGCTGCTCCAGGCCCGGCTGCCACTGCCTTGTGCCTGGCCACTCTGGGCCTGGCCGCAGCCGTTCCAACATTGTCTTTTTTTTTTTCTCTTTTTTTTTTTTTAACGCATTTATGTTGCAATGTTGGCTACTGAGTTGGGTTCTGACTTAGTCTTTGATTTTTCAAGATCTTTGTGTTCTTTCTTAAGTAATTTTACTATCTTTTGCTCTCCCTTGATTTCTTCACATTGAGAAATTTTTCGGTTTCTTCCTCCTTGTCCTGGAAGCTCAGCAGGTTGGCCTGTGGCACCCCTTTGTTCTCCGCGGGCTCCTGCACTGCTTCTGTCTGTTGCCGGGGTCAGCACCGCCACGCAGGAAGCAGCCCCCGGCCTTGGCTTCATTGCCCGTGCTCAGCGGTCGAAGGCTCAGGGGCACCCCCCTTCCCGGGGGGCCCCGTCGCCCGATTCCTTGCTGGCGCCTGGCTGGCTGGTGTCTGGCAGGGGCTCCTGCTCCTCGTCGCGTTCCTCCAGTCTGCAGTTTTTTTTCTCCTTCCCGCTATGGGAGTCTAGCATCAGAGTCAACAGACTGTCCTCTGTGCGCAATGTGCGCGACTCCGGGGGCTCCGCTTTTCGCCACTCCCCTGGGATTCCCTGAGCCGGCTGGGGCTCCTGTTTCCTTCCCTCCAGGGCAATCCCGAATCAGAGTCAACATTCCTTCTCTTGTGAGCAATGTGCGCAACTCCGGGGGCTCGGCCTTTCGCCGCTCTCCCAGGACTCCACCTCACAGCCCCCAGGGATTAGCCCAAGGGATTGGAGTTCAGGGTGGTCGGGAGTGGGGCTCAGCACCGCCGGAGGCTTTGTTTCTTCCCGCCAGGGCAATCCAACATCAGGGTCAACATTCCGTCCTCTACGCGCAATGTGCGCGACTCCGGGGCCCTACTTTTCGCTGCTCCCCTGGGATTCCACCTCACAGCCCCGTCTCCCCCTGCCAGAGCCTGAGTCCCCAGGGTCTGGCCCATAACTGGGGCTCAGCGCTGCCGGTTCAGGGGTTCAGCCCAGGCCGGGGTTTTTATTTCCTTCCTGCTATGGAACGCCAGGCAGCACCCAGCCTTCTTTTCCTCTCCGGCTGCGACCTCTCCACATGCGCGTGCGTGCGGGTGCACAGCATGTCTCCATACCTTAGGCTTTTTTCAGCTCCTCTCATTTTCCTTCTGGTTTTCTCTTTCCTTCTTGTAGTCAGTCGACTACCTGTAGCTCTGGGCAATGTCCACTCTACATTTTAGTTGTATTCCATTGAAATTGTTATGTGCTGCCGCGGTTAGGTGTCTTCCTGAGCAGCCATCTTGGATCCTCCAGGAATTAAATTTGATCTGCTGTGACTTTTAAAAAACCTCTATCAAACATGTTTATGTTATTAACATAACATAAGTGCCTGAAAGTAAAAATTTTTTGTTAATTTTCCTTCTCTAACTGTAAGTCTTAAAGATGAGGTCAGAATTTGAGGGAATTCTTTTTCTATTTTTACATTTTTCCTAGAATACTTTTGCATAATTTGGAATAAAAAATTATTGAAAATTAATTATATCCTTTAATAATATTGTAGCTCATAAAAGTAGTTCATATGGGAAGATTTTTTCAGATGTGACTATTTTATACATAAATGATCTTTTTCAACATGTGACAGTTTTACATAAATGTTCTTTTTATACATAAATGTTCTTTTTCATAATGTGACCGTTTTTTCTAGTAATTAGAAGTTAACCGGGCTAAATTTTTTTTCTTTGCTTGAAAATATTGGCAGTGCTTTCTTGTGTTTAGAGAGGAAAATACACAACCTAAACCTTTGACTAGTATTTTTTGACACTATAGTATAAGATATTGTGTATATAACCTGTAAAAAGTATATATAAGATTATAATGCAAGTTTTCATGTTCATCTAGAATACTTATTTTAGTAAATCAGGTCTATATTTTTGTGGGATGTTTTTCAGAGAACATATTTTCAATATCATAGGAGCATTTGATATTCCACGCTTTGTGTACAATTCAGAAAGAAAAAAATTTCTTCCGTAAGTATTCCATTTATTGACTTTCAACAATTTCCAAATGTAAATTATTTTCAGAAGTCATAATAGGGATTCCTTCTTGTTTTTATAGTCTATTAATGACCAACCACCCAAAACCAAATTTATTTGGAACAGCAAGAGATAAAGCAGAGCTGTTTCGTGAACGCTACACCATTTTGCACCAGGTAAGTTTGTGGGGAAAGACACTGTTTCAGTTTAGGTAAGACTTGAGGATGATAAAAGGATGGAATTTTATAGTCTAGTTTGTCATTCATTAGATTTATTTGGCTCCCTATATTTGAGACCTTGTAAGGGATATAGAAATAAAGATACTTTTCCCTTAACAGTCATGATGATGATAAAAATTGTACCTAACATTTATTACATGTGTTGTTTTTTAATTGATTTCAAAGAGGAAAAGAGATGGGGGGAGAGAGAAATATCAATGATGACAGAATCATTGATCAGCTGCCTCCTGCACGACCCCTACTTGGGGTCCAGCCTGCCACCCAGACATGAACTCTTGACCAGAACCCAGGGCCCTTCAGTCCACAGCCCGATGCTCTATCTGCTGAACCAAACTAGCTAGGACTCTTACATGTTTTTGATATTCCAGGCACTGTTTATCACTTTATAGACATTATTTACCTTATTTAATCATCATAATATCAATGTATAAATGCTATTATTCACATTTTACAAATGAGAAAACTGAGATCTAGAGAACTTTAGTAACTTGCTCAAATATGACATCTAGGAACTATAGACAGGGTTTTTTTGTGTGTATGTGTGTTTTGTTTTGTTTTTTATTTATTTTTTAAATTTAATAAATCTTTATTGTTCAGATTATTACAATTGTTTCTCCCCCTCCCCCATAGCTCTCCTCCACCCGGTCCCCACCCTACCCTCTGCTCTTACATCCTGCCCCCACCACCCTCCTCATCCATAGGTGTATGATTTTTGTCCAGTCTCTTCCCGTACCCCCCACAAAGACACCCCTTTCCCCCTGAGAATTATCAGTCCCCTCCCATTCTATGCTCTTCATCTATTATATTCACCAGTTTATTCTGTTCCTCAGATTTTTAATTCACTTGACTTTTAGATTCACTTATAGATATGCATTTGTTGTTCATAATTTTTAATCTTTAATATTTTCTTCTTTTTCCTCTTTTTAAAGAACACTTTCAGCATTTCATATAATACTGGTTTGGTGGTGATGAACTCTTTTAGCTTTCTCTTTTTTTTTTTTAATATATTTTATTAATTTTTTACAGAGAGGAAGGGAGAGGGATAGAGACTTAGAAACATCGATGAGAGAGAAACATCGACCAGCTGCCTCCTGCACAGGCCCCTCCTGGGGATGTGCCCGCAACCCAGGTACATGCCCTTGACCGGAATCGAACCCAGGACCTTTCAGTCTGCAGGCTGACGCTCTATCCACTGAGCCAAACCAATTTCGGCTTTTAGCTTTCTCTTATTTGTGAAGCTCTTTATTTGCCTTTCAATTAGTGTAATCTTGTTAGTAGGTTCTTACTATTCATTCATCACTTTAAGTATTTCTTGCCACTCCCGTCTGGCCTGCATACTTTCTGTTGAGAAATCAGCTGACAATCGTAAGGGTGTTCCCTTGTAGGTAACTAATTGTTTTTCTCTTGTTGCTTGTAAGATTCTCTCTTTCTATTTTGCTCTTGGCATTTTAATTATGATGAGTCTTGGTGTGGTCCTCTTTGGATTCCTTTTGTTTTGGGTTCTGTGTGCTTCTTGGACTTGTAAATCTATTTCTTTCATTAGGTGGGGGAATTTTTCAGTCATTATTTCTCCAAATAGGTTTTTAGTGTCTTGCTCTATCTCTTCTTCTGGGACCCCCATAATTCTGATGTTGGTACGCCTGAAGTTGTCCCAGAGGCCTCTTACACTATCTTCAACTTTCTCTTCTCTTCTTGCTTCTGCGGAGGAGTGTCCTTTGCCTCTTTGTATTCCAAATCTTTGACTTGATTCTTTTTTTTATTAAATCTTCATTGTTCATATTATTACAAAAGTTCCTCACTTTTTCCCCTCCACCAGGTTCCCACCTCACCTCTGCCCTTTCCCCACCACCCATTATCCTCATCCATAGGTGCACAGTTTATGTTCAGTCTCTTCCCACACTCCCCACCCCTCTTTTCCCCGAGAATTGTCAGTCCACTCCCCTTCCGTACCTCTGATTCTATTATATTCAACAGTTAATATTGTTCAGATTTTTTAATTCTCTTGGTTTTTAGATTCACTTGTTTATAATTACATATTTGTTGTTCAACTTTTTATCTTTATCTTCTTCCTCTTCCTGAAGAACCCCCTTCAGCAATTCATATAATTCTGGTTTGGTGGTGATGAACTCCTTTAGTTTTTTTTTATTAGTGAAGCTCTTTATCTGGCCTTCAATTCTAAGTGATAGCTTTGTCGGGTAGATTATTTTTGGCTGTAGGTTCTTGCTATTCATCACCTTGAATATTTCTTGCCATTCCCATCTGGCCTGCATGGTTTCTGTTGAGAAATCAGCTGACAAATCAGCTGAGCTGAAACCGGTTTGTCTCAATGAATAGAGCATCGGTTTGGGGACTGAAAGGTCCCGGGTTGGATTCTGATCAAGGGTATGTACCTTGGTTGCGGGCATATCCCCAGTAGGGGGTGTGTAAGAAGCAGCTGATTGATGTTTCTAACTGTCTATCTCTCTCCCTTCCTCTCTGTACAAAATCAATAAAATATATTAAAAAAAGAAATTAGCTGACAATCGTATGGATGCTCCTTTAAAGGTAACTACCTGGCCAAAGCCGGTTTGGCTCAGTGGATAGAGCGTCAGCCTGCAGACTGAAGGGTCCCGAGTTGGATTCCTGTCAAGGGCACGTGCCTTGGTTGCGGGCGCATCCCCAGGGGGGGTGTGCAGGAGGCAGCTGATCGATGATTCTCTCATTGATGTTTCTAATTCTCTATCCCTCTCCCTTCCTCTCTGTAAAAAATCAATAAAATATTTTTTTTAAAAAAGCATCTCATTTAAAAAATAATAATAAAAATTAAAATAAAGGTAACTACTTGCTTTTCTCTTGCTGCTTTTAATATTCTCTCTTTGTCTTTTGCTCTTTGAATTTTAATTATGATGTGCCTTGGTGTTTTCCTCTTTGGGTTCCTTTTGTTTGGGATTCTGTGTGCTTCTTGGACTTGTAAGTCTATTTTATTCACCAGGTGGGGAAAGTTTTCTGTTACTATTTCTTCCAATATGTTTTCGCTATCTTGCACTCTGTCATCTTCTGGGATTCCCATAATTCTGATGTTGGTTCGCTTGAAATTGTCCCAGAGGTTTCTTACACTATCTTCAACTTTCTGGATTCTCTTGTCTTGCTTCTGCAGAGGAGTGTCCTCTAGCTCTTTGTGTTCCAAATCTTTGACTTGATTTTTGCAATATTCCATTCTGTTTTTAGGACTCTGTATAATATTTTTTATTTCAGAGAATGTATTCTTTATTTCTAGTTGATCCCTTTTCATATCTTCATAGGTCTTGTTTATTTTATCAGCCTTTTCTAGATTCTTGAAAAACCTTATAAGCGTGGTTTTGAACTCTATATCCAGTCGCTTTTTGTCCTCCATTTCTTTCATTTGTGATCTGTTTCCTTGTCTCAGCATTTTCGCTGCTTCCCTGAGTTGGTAGGGTGGGAGGATCAGCTGTATCTATGCCAGGAGACAGCCTTATTCGACTAGACTTGCAAAACTGCAAGAGCCTCTATGATTAGCTTGGATGGGGCAGAGTTTCAGGGTGGAATCTACAGCCTTGGCTTCTGGTTAATCCCGGCCTGTAAGGTTCCTATGTCTCAGTGTTCCTCAGTGTCCTTTGGTACTCGCTGCAAGCACCTCTGAAAGAAAGGTGCCCTTGAGTTTCGCCTGTTACCAGACAGTCTAGTCTCTCCTCCAACGAGCCTGCAACTGGGGTTCAGTGCAGTTGGAAGTGGGGTTAAGAGCAGTCGGGATCTTATGTCTCCTTCCTGCTAGGGCAATCCAGCTGTTCAATCAACAGTCTGTCCTCTGCGCGAAATGTGCGCAACTCGGGGGCTCTGCCCTTTGCTGCTCCCCTGAGCTTCCACCTTACAGCCCAGATTCCCTCTGTATGAGCTGGGGGCCCAAGGGTCTCATCCAGAACTGGGGTTCAGTGCATTCGGAACTGGGGCTCAGCCCAGTCCGGATCTTTTGTCTCCTTCCGGCTAGGGCAATCTAGTAGCACAGTCAACAGTCCGTCCTTTGTACGCAATGTGCAAGACTCCAGGGCTCTGCCTTTCGCCACTCCTCTGAGCTGGAAGCCTTACAGCCCAGATTCCTTCTGTATGTGTCTGGGTCCCTAGGGTCTCGCCCAGAACTGGGGTTCAGTGCTGTGAGCACTGGAGTTCAGCACAGTCCAGAGCTTTTATCTCCTTCCCGCTGGGGAACGCCAGCCAGGCACTCAGCCTCCCCTCCTCCCTGGCTCCATCCTCTCCTCGCACGCAACGTGTCTTCGTACCTTAGGCTTTTACAGCTCCTCTGATTTTCCTTCTGGTTTTCTCTTTCCTTCTCGTTGTAGAATTTCCAGTCAGTCAACCTTCCTGTAGTTCTGGATAATGTCCACTTTATATTTTAGTTGTATTTTTTGAAATTGTTGTGTGAGGCTGCAGTTAGGTGGTTAACTATGCTGCCATCTTGATTTCTCTCCCTGACTTGATTCTTGCATTCCTCTAGTCTGCTGTTGGGTCTCTGTATAATATTTTTTATTTCAGTCAGTGTATGTTTAATTTCTAGTTGGTCCTTTTTCATATCCTCGAAGGTCTCGTTAAATGTATTAGCCTTTTTTAGGAAATTCTTGAAAAACCTTATAATTGTGGTTTTGAACTCTTATGTCCAATCGTATGTTCTCCTCCATTCCTTTCATTTGTGATCTGTTTCCTTGGCTCCTCATTTTTCTTGCTTCTTTAAGTTGGTAGGGTAGCTTTGTATGCTAGGTGTCCTATATAGGTCAATGGGTCAGCCTCCCAATTACCTGAGGTGGACACTCGGTACACCCCTTTGTGGACTGTGTGTACAGCCTTGTAGTTATGTCTTAATTGTTGTTGGTGTCACTGGGAGGAATCGACCCCCCAGGCCAATTGGCTGTGAGGACCCGCTGTGTCTATAACGGAAGAATTGCTGT